TTTACCTGAAGTCCTCGACTTCTCTTCTCCTGCACAAAGAATCCATATTCGACCCTCCAATTTTCTCCCATTAAGTCATGAATTTTGGACTCGTCACCTCTTCCTCTTCATTATTGCCGCCACTACGTTGCCCTTAGGTATCAAATTTTTAGTATTCTGCTGACATCCTGGTACTAAAGCAGAATTTAAAAGCAGATATTTAGATAATAACTCTTTAGAGGCATACTTTTCTTGGTGATAACCCTTGCATCTCACTAAATCTTTTAGTGTTGTTATTGGTTGCTGCATAAAACAGAAAACTTTATTATTATTGGTTTCCTTCTAAAACAAAAAAAACTATTCCTTACCCCATCCGTTTTAATCTTGTTCTATGTTTTGTATATTTGCTGCTAGGTTTCCTAAGCTTCTGAATTCTCTCTGATGTTTGTGCCTGATTTACATGCCAAAGTTGCACCAGAATTTTGGTCTAAAGATGCCTTAAGGCTCTGTTTGGTAGGAAGAAAAGAGAGAGGAAAGGAAGTAAATTGTTTTAATCTAATGGTTGAGTTACAAAATAGCGCATGTTATGTTGCTCAATGTTTATATCAAAATTCTTTCTTTCCTTCATACAAAACGAAGTGTAAGCAAAATTTGCCTCCTTAGCTGGCTCACAATACAGTATTCTGTTCTTCCTGGCAGTTCTTATTTGGATCAGCTCGTGTTATGAAGCAGCCACTATTCAGGCCAGCCTGTGAACTAGCCTTTGCTGAATGTGATGCAGAGGGAGATAACTATTGTACAAAGAAAGAAGTATGTTGTTCTTTCTTTGGTTTCCCTAAGTTTGTACTTGTTCATTTTTCATCCGTTTAACCATTTTTTTGGGGTACAAAAGAGACCGTGGTCTGGTGATGGGGACTGGATGCTATGTTTTAAAGATGACTGCATAAACTAATTGAGTTCAGCTCTGGATTTGTCATCCGATTAACCTTTTCTTTGGGTACAAAGGAGACAACAGCCTTTTTTTCTCCTGTTTAACCTTTTTTTTGGATAAAAAAAAGACCGCAGCTAGGTATAAGAGAAAAGATTGCGAGTGTTGAGATTTGAACCCCAAACTTACTAGATGCCATTTTTTAAGGATAGCTGCATGCACCAACTGAGCTAAACTTTGGGTTTGTCATCCGGTTAACCTTTGCTCATTTATGCTCATAACATTAACTCTTCTGTTTCTGATTGCTTTTGGATCAGTTGAAAGATATTTTTAGGCAAGCAATTCCAGATCTGAATGAAGATGAGGTAAAAGAAATACTATATAAGACTGTTTTTTTAATTTTTTTTGGGGTGCCATTTCTGACCTGACCCAAGCTCATCTGCCACTGTCTACATGCAGTCCCATGGGCTGTTCAATCTATTTGATATGGACAATGATGGGAGAATCAGCAGGGATGATTTCTTTTCCTGCCTGAGAAAGAACCCTTTGCTGATATCACTTGTCAAAAGCTGGTGATAGGATGCTGGAGGAGATTGTTTGATGAATGGAGGGGCCATTTTCCTCCATTTTGTGTAACTATTTTTTCACTGCTTCTTGGGTTTTCTTGACATGAATGCCAGGTAACTGATTCTTGTGCTGAATTTTTTGATCTTGCCCGTCATGTTGCTCGCATGAACCAATATCTTTGAACTGTATTGTTTTGTGCTCATAGAATATTTTGATTCTAAAAGTAAGTTTTAATAACTTAAGAATTTTTTTTTGGGTGCATTCAATTTAAATGTCTATTATTATCATAGGTAGGGGTGAAAAAAAACTGAAAATTGATTTGAAATCATAGTATTTTGTTTGGATTAATTTTTTTTTATTCGGTTTGGATTAAATTCATATATAAAATATATAAATTAGATTTAAATCGGATTTTGGATCAAGAAGTGAAAAATCAAAAAAATTGAATCAAATTAAATTATATATTTGTTTAGTTTATATATATTTTTAATTTTTATAAAATAAAAATAATTATTTTATATTTAAAATAATATATAAAAATAAAAAAAATTAAATCTTAAAATTTGATAAACCAATAAAATTGATAAAATTCGATTTGAATTGAATTAGATGAAAGTTTGGATTAGATTTGGATCATATTTTAAAAATTTATAATTATATATGTATTATCTGAAAAAGTTAAATCAAATTCCATAATGATATTACCTCTAATCATTGGTGAATAATCAAAATAAACTGCATTTAATTTTTTTGGGTATTTAATACCTTTATTGTATGAAAATAAGTTTGTAATATTTTATTTTGTTGTATATAAAATCATAAAATTTTAAAAGTATATACAAAAAAAAGTTTAATTAGTTCAAAAAGACTAACGACTGTTTATGTGATATTTTGTTGTAAATAAAATTATAAAATTTTAAAAATACATAAAAATTTAATGTAATTAAATAAGATTAACGACTGTTTATATAATATAGTTAACATTTTTTTGTGACATGATAAAGGTGCAAAATGATGTACAAGTTCACTAACGCCGAATCTATACCAAATCTATAGAACAAGATTAGTAGGTTGGGCAAGCTTTCCTTAGATTTTGTATTGATATAAATTAGATTTCGTATAATTATAAGTTATGATATATAATTTTTGTATAAAATATAATATAAATACATAAATTATCATGTATAAATAAAAAATTAAAAGATAAGAAGACTATTATAAACATTCCAAGTTTTTTAAATTTTATTTAGAACATTAACTTGAGCATCGAGGTAAGTTTTGGAATCTCAACTCAAGCTGATTATTCTAGACATTAATTTTAACTCTGCCATATATGAAGACATAATCTTCAAGATATTGAAGACATAAAGGGAGCCAACGAATTTTTTTTTATTTTTTAATTTAAAATTTTATCTGAATTATATATATATATTTAATATTCAAATCAAATAAAAAAATTTATTCAGATCAAATCGAAAATTATGATTTTAAATAAAGTTTTGGCTTTCATAGTTTTTTTTCTGATCCACAATGAATTCCGAGTATGGGGGACCATCCAGGGAATGCATGCACATGGACCATATTCCCTTGTATTTATCACGTTAGTACAACAATAAAGGCACCCCTCCCCCAGCAGGGGCAGAAATGAACAGTATCACCCACACTGACCCAAATTGGAGGACCACCTGTCCTAAAAAAGAGACATCCGATCCGAATTGTTGTGATCCTCAGAACTTCCATAGAAATTACACTTTAAGGTTCCCATTAACTCTTTCTTTGTTATTCAAGGGCCATGATGTAATCTCACAAATCCCAAAATCAAATTTGACCCTTTGATTGAAAGCTGATGGGTTAAAAAAAGAGAAACATGGCAAGCTTTGTGGTCCCCCATGTAGCAGACCCAAGGCTAACTAACCTAAAGCCAATCCCTACAAAAGGCATAAAAGAAAACCCATGAAAGTTACAGACAAATGACAAGTGTCGGCACATAACTAATTATATTATAAAAAATTATTAATTTTTTAATTTCGCAAAAAATGACATGTTTTATTTTTTAAATATATTTTAAAGGATATAGATTGTTTTATAAATTTTATTTATAAAATTAAAATAGTACATTAATAATATATTTTATAATTTTTTTTATTTGAATATTAAAATATTAGCAAAAAATTTTAAATAGGTAGAAAAATTATCTGTGCTATTAGATCCTCATGCTGTGATTGCCGTTGTCATTATTCCATTTTTAAGTTCTTTACAAGTATTCGTATGTATACATAAATGGGTGGCTTTGGATTTATTTGTAATTATAAAAAGTTTTCATTATAAAAAGTTTTCTTTTTTTGTTGAGATGTTTTTGAATTTTTGTTCATTTAAAAATTTTAATAAATAATTATAAATAATATTTTAAAATTTATTAATTAAAATAAATAAATTATAAATATAATAAAATTTATTCATATTTGATTTATTTATAAAAATTAACAAAACATTTAATAAATAATTTATTAATGTAATTACTTTTTATTTATTTAGTAAATTTAATAAATAATTATATAATATTTTATAATTTATTATTTTACTAAATAATTTACAAATATAATTTTATTCATTCATATTTAATTCTGTCTATTAATTTATAACGTATGTGGGACTAATTATGACAGGTAACATATTCAGGCCGAGCAAAATGACGTATAATTTTCCTTCCCTGTTATCTTAATTATGGCTTCCTCACATTAGAAAAAAAAAAAAAAAAAACTAAGCATGAAAAATGGGATTTTACTAGAGAAAAGAAGAAAATTTTCTTACCAAAAAAATGTAAAAAACAAAAGAAGTTAAAAAAAAAAAAAAAAAAACTAAATCCAAAGGCCAATTTTCCTAGCTTGCCCTCACAAAAGAAGAGGCCAAAAATTTCAATGTGGTCTTATCTCAAATATTCGTGTTTGTAAAGTAATGTGAATGCTTGAGTGGCTGTTATTTTGTCCTTTGTTGCCTCGGTTTTTTTTTTTTTTTTTTAATTATTTTTTTTGATAATTTAAAATAAGGTGTAATGATATATATAAATATAATATAAATAATATAAAAATAATATAATTTAAAATTTTAATAATTATTATATATGTATTTAATAAAATAAAAAATAAAAAAATATTTTTATATTAATATAAATTATGATATTTTATATAAAATACGATAAAAATATACATATTTTAATATACCAATTGTCAGTTTAAAAATAAAAAATTATCAGCTGTTTCTGATCTTTCGAAACCTGATTGGTCGGATGTGTACGGTATTGTACGGACGATGTTTGCATATTTCTATCATTGTACCTTTCCAACGTTCCATTTTTATCTTGGAGCTGTTTGCTTTTCCTTTTTTATAACTTCACAGCACAATAAAATCAAAATTTTTAAAATATTTTTACTAAAATTTTCCATTTTCATTGTAAGTTCTTTCTTCTGGGGTTTGTGTTATGAGTTTACCAAGACTAAGCAAAAAAGAGGTTTCAAAATGTTTTTTTTTTTTTTTAATATACAAATATATGCTCTTCCCCTTTACAACTGTATGAATCAAATCACAATAAAATTTTCTAATCTTGGGTCTTCTAGATTTTCTTCACATCCATCAGATTTTTCTAGCTTTCTGGGTTTTTTTTTTTTTTTCTTTTAATTTTTTGGTGAGAAACTTAAGTTTGATGATCTCTTTTGCTCACAGGCGTCTGATCTCCTTTGTTTACACAACTGAACAACATTTTATTTTGTTCTCTAACATCATTAAAAAATGGATTTCTGGGTTATACTTGGTTGGATTTTTGTTATGTCTGTCATGGTAATTATCTGAGTTTTTTTGCTGCTGTACTGTAATGATGATAGCTTCAGCGTTTTTGTTGCTTGAAGGTGCTGAAATGGTGAGAGGAAAGACTCAAATGAGGAGGATAGAGAATGCCACAAGCAGGCAAGTCACCTTCTCCAAGAGACGAAGTGGGTTGCTCAAAAAGGCCTTTGAGCTATCAGTTCTTTGTGATGCTGAAGTTGCTCTCATAATTTTCTCTCCCAGAGGCAAGCTCTGTGAATTTGCCAGTTCTAGGTACCATTAGCTCCCCACTTTCTCTAATGAACTTAACAATTTTCTTGTTTGTGATCATGTCATTTTTTTCTATATAAGAGGCCTTAATTCGGGATAAGATAATAAAGGAAGAGATTGTATGTTTTGAGATGCGCATTCGATACATTATACACAGAGGTTAAGCTAGGTATAGGAAGAAGGGAGTCAGATACCAAATCCAACAGGAGAAGAGGGTTAAATAGTAAATATTATGGGAAAGAGTATCATACATATAAGGTTGTTAAAATTTTGGGGGACATGGCTCGTGCCTAACTCTACTTCTAAATTTGTCAATTTGTGTATTTATGTCATATAAAAATTGAAATTTGTATACTTATGTTATATTTTACACGAAAATTATATATCGTAATTCGTGTCGATACGAAAATATATAATATATTTTTTTTAGTTTTGTTAAACATATATATATAGTTATTGTTAAAATTTAAATTATGTAACTTTCGTGTAATTTATTTGTATCATATTTCTGTCATATCATTATATAGTGTTTTAAATTATCAGATTTATCTACCTTTAGCGGTGCCCCTGATCATATATACTGAACCTTACCTTTTAAAGGGGAGGCATGAATTAAGTGAGACCATAATTTGAGAATAAAATAAAAAATAGAGAAGATAAGAAATTATAGGTCTCGGATTTAAATTCCAGACCTAACCCTAGCTCTTCCGGTTCATATTTTTTGAGTGTCACCACTTTTTGGCTTTAATATTAGTATCGATTTCATTTTTTTTTTTGTTGGTATATATGGGATTTGCAATCTAAGGTTGTTTGATCTAGCACACATTAGGGTTGTTCATTAAAATTTTTTTAGTGAATCAAATTAAACTAAATTTGGTGACTATTTCATTTTGCTTAATTTAGTGGTTAATGCTGTCTTAAAATGAGAGTTGGCCCTTTCCTAATGCTAAAATGTTAAAAAAAAATTGAACTTTGGGTATTGTATACAACAAATAATAGCTTAGTGACTAAAATTTAATTTGGTAATTTTAAATACGATATGAAATAAATATGAAAAAAATCAAAGTTAAAATTGATAAAAAATTATATAGAATTTAACAAAAATTAAAAATTTATTCCATGTTTGACGTGTTAGTACTAATTATAACATGATAATTTTTATATTTTATATATGTTTAAAATAAAACGGATACGATACAAATACATGAATCGATAGGAATAACTAAAATGCAGGCTTGTCATTAAATAGAAAATTTAGAATTTGATTGATTGCAATAAAATGTTTAAAGTTTAAATGATTATTAAATTTTTATTTGAAGGTTTGTGTAACCCTTTTGTCAAAAAAAAAATGTTAAAATAAAAAACCAGCAATTTGATGTTACAGGAAGTAGCAAAAAGAAAATTTCATGTTATGCCATGTAACTCTCTGTAAGTTGAAAAATAGTAAATAAAATTTTTCATTAGGAGCATATTTTCACTTATAAATAATGATCCTTTACATAATTCTTTATTATAATTGAGTAATTACAAAATTATAATAAAAAAATTATTGATGAAATGCTCCCGACGATATACAGTTTAAACAAATTATGACTCTTTTAACTAATATATACCTGCCAGACTTTTTTTTTTTATGCATTTATACCTAAATACATGTGTTTTGAGTAATTTTTAATCTGAAAGAAGAGATAGATTAATCGTATTGCTATTGGATTTCATTCTTTAGCATGCAGGAGACAATAGAGCGTTACAAGAGGCATACGAAAACCAAGCCAACTGAACAAAACATGCAGGTTAGGATTTCTCTGAATCCTTTCTTTTCAATCAAATATTCGTGGATGTATATGATGTCCTAAGGTGATTTTTCTCTATTTATGATCCTGAAAAAATGTGTATTCCATTTAGATTTAAAAATTTCGAGTATTTGTATTGTGTAAATCACTGACAATTTCTGTGTTAATATCGTGTTTTGCACAAAAATCATTTGTTATAATTTTTTTCAATATGAAAAATATGAAATATATTTTTTTATTTTTATTAAATTCATATATAATTTTTATTAAAATTTAACCCGTGTCACGTTTATGTCTTTTTTCGTATCATTTTTATGTTGTATATTAAATCGTTAGATGTAATTCTATTCCTCAACCCCTTAGGTTACAGATTCTCCTTCCCTACATTTTTATACCTCAATCAAGACTGGCCGATATTGACAGCTTGAAACATACTTAAAATAAGTGTGAAAACCCTAACCTTTTCACCAAGTAGCATGCAATTGTATGCATCTCTCTTTCTCTATATGTATGTATATTAGTTGGATGATGCGGATTCAAGACTTTTTTTGAAGTCGTCGATTTATAATATATATATATATATATATATAATTACAATAAATTTATTAATTTTATAAAAAAAAATATTATGTCCAAAAAAAAATTTTAGGAATGTTTACGAAAAATATTTCCTAAAATTTTCTTTATCTACCATTTGGATCGGCCGCGGGGTTGGTACCCTCTCTTGCAAGTTTGGATTGGATATATATGAGCTGTATTTATCTGCTATAACACAGCATATGCATCATATTTGGAGTCTTGTTTCTGAAATTTCTATTGCACATTGGCTGAAATGGCAGCATCTGAAGACTGAAGCAGCAAACATGGTGAAGAAGATAGAGATTCTTCAAGATTTAAGACGGTACTTGGCCTAATTTAAGATTCATTTTCCTCAAATTTTACTGGTTTGTCATTTTTAACGTTGAAATACTGAAGAAAGATTTTGAAATTCGAGTCCGAAATGCCTCAGGAAACTGCTCGGAGAGGGTTTGGGTTCATGCACACTAGAAGAACTACAACAGATAGAACAACAGTTGGAAAGGAGCGTAAGCAACGTCAGAGCACGAAAGGTTGAATATGCATGGAAACGATTGATATTGAGTTTTCTGAACATCCTATACATTGAAAATTTAATAAGTTTATATTTAATATATTATCAGTATATAAATTTTATATTATATATGAGGTGATATCATCTGATTTATTAATAATACATCAAATATACACTCAAATTTAACAAGTTATTCTTATCTACTTTTCAGACACAAGTTTTCAAGGAACAGATCGATCGATTGCAAGAAAAGGTAAGCCTTGAGGTTGATCATTTTGAAATAATAGACCTCAACATGAGTGAGAAAATTTTTCATGTTGATTATGGTTATGCCAAGAGCTTCTAACGAAAAGATATGCTTCAAAATTATACATGAGGATGCAATGTAACACAAGAAAGGAAAAGCCATGTAACTTTCCCTATCACGTTGATAAATTATGAGGATAGTATATATATAAAGACTTGAACCCTTGTAAGGTATTTTTTGTGAAACAAAATCGTAAGACTTTCATGTGAAAACAAATAATACTTCGTAAGCCGGATACGGATCTTTACATTTTGCTTCAAATTCATGTCTAACCAATATATATCTTAAACCCTAAACTCTATATATATTAGTTTCATTGAATGAGTGATTAGTTGATTGCTAACAACTGTCTTAATTTTTTTGGCCAAAACTCAGGAGAAAATCCTAGCTGCTGAAAATGCAAAGCTTTATGAGAAGGTAAGCCTTTGCCTTTGCTATCAATAACAATTCAGACAGGAAAATGACAAGGAATTTGGATTGATTACAAGCTTCCTTCGACATTGTCTCATTGAAATCTTTGATTCAACTGAAAAATCCGGCTTAAATCTTCTTCTCTCAAGTGTGTTATGCAGCCATGGAAAGGATCAAAGGAGCAGAAAGAGAATATACCCTATAATGAAAGCAGTCCGAACTCGGACGTGGAGACTGACTTGTTCATTGGACCACCAGAAGGGAGAACAAAAAGCAACCTGCAACGAGCTAATCCGATGCCTTGCATATATGAATTATAGTGCACAATTTAATGCATTGAGCGTCCGGTTTGTTGCATTAGTTTCAAATAGAATTCATATCAGCATGTAAAAATGCTTGTTGAAAAATCTAACATTAGCAATAACCAAAGATTCGTCATATAAAGTATCTTTTTTTTTTTTAGCATGGCACATGTCATTGAAATGCTCCATTATTCTATTAACCTTTTTGTGTGACATTTGTTACAATTTTAAATCGTTCGTTTATATGTTCTTATTATATTATTATATCGTATATAAAATTATATCGGATCTATTGGTATTGACCTCTGATACGGAACCTTTTGTGGAACAGGGTTGCTGCTCAAATCTTGAATTTGTAAATCCTTGTAAAGTTAATGTAGCTTGAGATTTTTGGGTAGCATTTTGAATCTTAAATGGTCATATTGAAATGTCAAATTTTGTTGCAAGACGATCTTTTCATCGATGAATTTGTCAAAGATGGTTGCTTTTTAGCTTTGTTTTGGTTAGGCTTTCAATCTGTCAATTTAGCCCAATTTGGTCATACTTATTGCTTAGGATGTTAGTCTCTGATCAGAGGATAAGAGCTTGATTATAATTGATTTTTAAAATTAACAGATTATCAAAAGCTAATCCAAAATCCATCCTAGGTTATTGGGGTTATATTTGTAATTTTTTTATAATGAAAATTTTTGAAAGTTGTAAAATGAACATAATTTTTACATTGAAAATGAATCATTATAAATTTCATGCATTCAAATTTTCTTTACATTTATATTTTATTGCTTTTTTAATTTTAAATCTAATCATCTACATATAAATGTAAAGAAAGCGAAAAGCTTATGTAGTATAGCGTGAGGGTGAGAAAAAATTCAAAAAAAAATTAATAATTGTTTGAAATTATAATGTTCGGTTTGAATTGATTTTTTTTATTTAGTTCGAAATAAATTTAAATATTAAATATATATTAGAATCAGATTGAAAAGTAAAAAATAAAAAAAAATATGAATCGAATCAAATTATATATTTTTATTTATTTTTATTTATTTTTTAAATTTTTATAAAATAAAATAATTATTTTATACATAAATTTATTTAAATATGTTAAAAATTATTTTAAAATAATATATAAAAATTAAATTTTAAAAATTAAAAAATCAAATTAAACTAATAAAATTTAATTTTGATCAGATCATATAAATTTTACTTTAAATTTGAATAAAATTTTAAAAATTTATAATTATAAGCATTAACAAAAAAAAATTAAATCTAATCTGATCAAAACTATTCCCACTCAGGTCTCCTGCATATATTGACAATGAAAACGACATCGTGCGTGTTGGCTAAACGACGTTATAAAAAATCTCTCTCAAAAATAGAGATGATATGAAAGCGAAAAAATATAAAAGAAGAATTACCTTACAACCACGCTTTTTATCTGATGCTTGTTTTCCTATGTATGTCCATTACTACTAGCTTGGATTCGAATCCGCTGCTCTCAGTTTCACCAGATCTATTCACTGTTAACTTGTAATTCTCCTTTTTTCCCGCTTCTTGATTCTTCAATTTCTTGTTTAACTGGTTTTCTTTTTGTTGTTCTTAGGTTTTGATTGCCAATGGCGTTTAAGCGGGGACTATCAAATGTCGGCGTCCACCGGAACCGAAGTGCTGGATCTCGATTGCCTCTTATGATTCTCGTTTTCCTTTCAGTTCTCTCGCCACTTGTTTTCTTCATCGGCCGAGGGCTGTATATTTCTGGTTCGATTGCCTTTGATTTTGATATTCATTTTTGTTTTTGCGTTTTGGAAAATTAATTTCGAAAATGAAGGTTAATTAATTCGTTGTTTGGTTGAATTATAAATGTGTCATTTCGCTCTGATAAAAATTGAAAACTGCCTTGCTTTTGTTGAATTGCTTGTGACTCTAATGCAGTTTCAATGTTTCAAACATTTTGGTGTTTTCTACTTGATTGCATCTGACCTTTGTGCCTCTTGTTGTTTCTTGTGCAGATCAAAATAGTGTTCTAAGTGATTATAGCAAACAGGTTGCTTCTTTAAAAGCTTTTCCATTTAAATTGTTTACATCTTAGATGACTGACTCTGATGTAGATTTGGCAATTCGTGTATTCGTGTATTCGTGCATTCATGTTTTTGTATTGTATTTTACATGAAAATTGCGTCACAATTTGTGTCGACATGAAAACATTAAATACATTTTTTTGGTTTCATTAAACCCATATATAGTTATTGCGAAAATTTTAAACCATGTCATCTTCGTGTCTTTTTTTCGTATTGTGTTTGTGTCACAGTGTCATGGTTTAGATTGCCAATGATTTCTTTATACTCACACTGTTTTGTTTTAAAATGGTTGAGTTTTGCAGAATGTTGATTGGAGGGAAAGGCTGGCATTGCAATCTATCAAAAACCTTTTCACTAAAGAGGTAAATGCAAGTTGGGGTATATATAATATGAATTAATCATATTTCTTGCTCTGACAATTGATATATAATATGAATTAATCAATTCTAGGTTATTGATGTTGTCACGACAAGCACGGCTGATTTGGGGCCACTAAGTCTTGATTCTTTCAGAAAAGGCAATTTGTCTGCATCATGGAAAGTTATTGGGGTAGAGACTTCAGATGAGGATAATGCTACTTCTCAGGTTAGGATCATAGTTATTCTCTACCTCACGACTCACATATATTGGAAAATTTTCTATCTTGTACAGCCTTTTACTGGAAATTTTTTTCCAATTTTAGTTGCTGATGGATTGGTGTTTATTGGATTCTTACATGTTAAAAGTCAAACCAAAAGGCTGCAGATTTGAAACAAGAAATAGCTCAAGTTATAATTGGAAAGGTTTTCAATGGTAGTGTATTTCTCACTTAAATACATGCATAATGCTCTTGATAGTTTTCATTTTTCATGCTGACCTGCTTGATCCTTGCAGATGATCATTCACGTGATACACCTGCTAAAACACTTCGAAGGGTAATTATCATCTTTTGATGAACTGTGTGCTTTGGTATTATAAATAATTATATAATAAATATGCATTTTCCTTACCTTGCAGCAACTTAGAGATAATAGACGTGAGAAGCGGGCAGCCGAATTGGTGCAACAATATGATGAAGCTACTGTGAAACTTGAAAATGAAGCCATTGCACGATCCAAAGCTGTGGACTCTGCAGTTCTGGGCAAATACAATATATGGAGGAAGGAAAATGAGAATGATAACTCTGATTCCACAGTGCGCTTGATGAGGGATCAAATTATAATGGCAAAGGTTTATTTAAGTATAGCAAAGTTGAAAAATAAGCTTGACTTGCAACAAGAACTGCAGATTAGGCTCAAAGAGAGTCAGCGTGCCTTAGGAGAGTCAACAGCTGATGCCGATCTACCTCACAGGTAAAAGGATGTTGAATCTTTAATCTCATTGGCTTTGTGCGGTTGTCTATGTTTCTTCCTGTTTTTGCTCTTGGTGATTCTGGCAGTTTCTGATTTTGTGTTCTCATGCAACTCTGTTTAGTGCACCCGAGAAAATTAAAGCAATGGGCAAAGTTCTATCCAAAGCAAGAGAGCAATTGTATGATTGCAAGTTGGTCACTGGAAAGCTCAGAGCAATGCTTCAGACATCAGAAGAACAAGTTAGGAGATTGAAAAAACAGAGCATGTTCCTGAGCCAATTAGCTGCCAAAACAATTCCCAATGCGATCCATTGCTTGTCGATGCGTTTGACCATAGAATACTATCTCCTTCCCCTAGAGAAGAGAAAGTTCCCTAGAAGTGAGAATTTGGAAAGTCCAAATCTATACCATTATGCCCTCTTCTCTGATAATGTCTTGGCTGCATCAGTTGTTGTCAACTCAACTATCATGAATGCCAAGGTGATCTGAGCTGCCTTATCTTGTGTAACTGTCTAACTTGCTCTTCCTTTTTGCCCTTCTAGAATAGAAACTGATTGTCAGATTTTTAAGAACTGGGGCTCAGGTGCAGTCTTTACTAAAATTTTCTTTTCGGTGGTATTGCAGGATCCTTCGAAACATGTTTTCCATCTTGTTACTGATAAACTTAATTTTGGAGCAATGAACATGTGGTTTCTGTTGAATCCCCCTGGAAAAGCCAGCATTCATGTTGAAAATGTGGATGAATTCAAGTGGCTTAATTCATCCTATTGCCCTGTCATGCGGCAGCTTGAGACAGCTGCAATGAAAGAGTATTATTTCAAGGCAGATCATGCAACCACATCTGGATCTTCAAACTTGAAGTATCGAAACCCGAAGTATCTCTCAATGCTTAACCACTTGCGGTTCTATCTGCCACAGGTCTACCCCAAGTTAGATAAGATCCTGTTTCTTGATGATGACATTGTTGTCCAGAAAGACTTGACTGGATTGTGGTCTGTGGATCTCCATGGAAAAGTGAACGGTGCAGTAGAAACCTGTGGTGAAAGCTTTCATCGTTATGACAAGTACCTAAACTTCTCAAATCCTCATATTTCACGAAACTTTGATCCTAATGCTTGTGGTTGGGCATATGGAATGAATATGTTTGATCTCAAAGAGTGGAAAAAGAAGGATATCACTGGCATATACCACAAATGGCAAAATATGGTGAGTCTATGGTCTGACTTCATATTATCTATATTCTCTTACATATACACACACCTTCATGGCATTATTTAAATATTTTTCAGAATGAAGATAGAGTGTTGTGGAAACTCGGGACGCTTCCGCCTGGGCTGATTACATTTTACGGCCTGACACATCCGCTCGAGAAGTCATGGCATGTACTCGGTCTTGGCTACAATCCAAGCATAGACAAGAGAGAAATTGACCATGCAGCAGTTGTCCACTACAATGGCAACATGAAACCGTGGCTGGAATTGGCCATGACAAAATACCGATCATACTGGACCAAGTACATCAGGTATGATCATCCCTACCTTCGCAGCTGCAACCTAAGTGAATAATCCTGTTTTAAGTATGATCATCCCTCATTCTTTATTCTTCTTTCGTAATTCATTAACTTCATCCCCTTTAGCACTCACCCATTGGTTCGACTTAACAAAATTTGTGCAACCTTAACCTGTTAAGACACCCTATGATTTTTTTGTTTTCCACCTCCATTTTGGAGACAAGTTGTGAGCCTGAGTCAACTGTATTTCTTTTGAACAACGACTTGTTTTGCAGGATTCAATTGTATGAGTATTTATATCTTATAAAGACTCAAATTTCTTTGTTTTTATAAGCAAATTTTTTTCGCAGGGTGTTATATATTTTACAGATTATAGTAAAAAATTAAGAATAATTAAAAAAAAGTATGTCTGTCTTTTATTTTCATTTGTAAATTTAAAAAATTTTATTGTTAGTATACAAAAAATAAATTTTTTATAATATGTACATGAGTTCTGGACACTGATATTATGGGTGAAAAAAATCGAGAAAATAAAAATTAATTTAAAATCGTAATGTTCGTTATGGTTCGGATTAAGTTTTTTATATTTAGTTTGATTAAGTTTAGATATTAAATTTGTATATTAAATTTGAATCAAATTTTAAATTAAAAAATAAAAACAAATCAAATTACATATTTTTATTAATTATATATATTTTTTAAATTTTATAAAAGAAAAATAATTATTTTATATTTAAATTTATTTAAATATATTAAAAATTATATTAAAATAATATATATAAAAAAATAAAATTTAAAAAATTATCGAATCGAATTAGTAAAATTCAGTTTGATTTAGATAAAAATGTATGAAAATTTGATTTGAATTTGGATTAAATTTTAAAAATTTATAATTTTATGTATTATTTAAAAAAATTAAATTAAATTTGATCCGATTTGAAAGGGAGGAAAATGACCTTTTACCAATATACTCTCAGAAAGGCAAGCAGCAATCTGGACTCGAAAGATGTGATTCTACAAACCGAAAATCAATATCAGAGAATTTTATTAATTGACGTGCCCTACCTTGACTTGAGAAATGAATTTTTTTGGTAAAATAATTATCGGTTGCTCAATAATGATTATATTTTTAAAATGAATTTTTTAATTATTAAAGTTTGAGTAAGTGTTTTTTTTTATCAAGGAACAGTTAGTATTTAATGATGTATTGTCGTAATATTATCATATTAGCTATTAATATAGTATCAAATCATCCAATATATTATGAGGTACTGTTGACTTATTATTATAAATTTTGAAAAAAAAAAAATACTAAATGGCAATGTTGCCGTGGCCACATCAACACGTTATTAGAGATTACCGATTGGATAAAAAATATTTATTTAAATTTTAATGATTAAATGAAAAATTTTAATAATTTAGTGATATTTTAAAAATATTACTATAATTGAATAACAAATAACATAATTTATTTTTATTTTAAATTATTAAAATTAAAAATTTAATATTTAGAGAAGTGACAATCAAAAGTTGGTGGTGTTTGTGGCCGGTGGGGTCACATCAAAACTTGTCGTTGCTTGCTTTGGAGAATAATGAAAATTTTTAAATGAAATTTATTAATTTTTTAAAAATAATTTAATAAAAATTTTAATAAAATATTTAAATAGATAGATTTATAAAATTATTAAAAATATTATTTATAATTTAAATTTAATTTATATTTATTCAATAATAAAAATTTTTTTAGTATTTTTATTAAAAATATTTATATTAAAATATTTTTAAAATTTACAAACTTAATTTATATAATAAAATTTATTAATTTATTAATTTTAAAATTTAAATTTTATTTAATCGTATCTAATAAAAAATTTCATAAACTTAAAAAAAAAAAAACTTTATATAAAATTTTCCCTGCTTTTCACAGAGCATCTGCTCTCTCAAATAAAAAACTCTTTCATAGTTGCCATATGTAGTGGGACATGAATTCCAATTGCTTGCTTTTGATAGAACATATGCTGTTACTATTTGTCGCTAATAAAAACAACTCTTTCAGAGTTACCATATATAGTGGGACATCCAAGGCAAAGACATTTTTGGTGGGTCAATCATCAATAATGCCAATGCCACTAAACTCTATACCCATCACAGAATCTTCTGCCACTTGCTGTCTTTGATTCTCTCTTTTACAGCAGTTTCATATTTTACTTTTGATAGGGTTTATTTCCCTAGTAATTCTAAGCACTACTACATGTCATTTTTTTTTTTTTCCATTTTGCCTATTAGTATTTTGATAAATAATTTTAAGTAGTCAACTTGATATCTCAAAATTATAAAAATTGTAACAAAACAGCAAAGCTATCAAATTTTTATTATCCAATTAATCAAAAATCATTTTCCTTTTTTATTTTTATTATCTAATTTATTAATTTTTTTTTTCAAAATATTCTATGTATACCCATTTTGGTCAAGGAATCTGCAAAATGGTTGGTCTTTCTATATAAATGAACAAAGGAGACTTTACTCAGCCTAGAATTGAGGTTATACAACTTGCTAAGAAGATTGTTATATTTGCGGGGGCTAATGCTTATTTTGTTGGTTCAGAATGTAACAATTTACGAATTATTTTATATGGATTTAATCAAAATAATATATTTTATGTTTTCATATTGATACAAATTATAACACATAATTTTTATATAAAATATAATATAAATATATAAATTTTAATATTTTACCTGTTATAAATATACGAATTATCAAATCTAATCAAAATAAGAAGCACTGAGTTCTTTATTAATTCCTAAAAAGTTTGATTCCTTTGCATGAATTGTGAATCGCTTTAAGCTATAAAATAGCAACTAATTCAGGAACTGGCCTCTAGCCTTTGGGTGTTTCTGTTGCCCTATTTCATTAGACCCACCATGTGCAAATAAATGCTTCCCCATTTGTCTCATTGTCACCCTCTTTATATCACTTTTATTGGCCAAACCATGGATCTAAATTAGCACCCGCAATGCGGCCGCTATTTTTTTATTATGTAAATTGTTATTCACATAAATTACGGTTTATCATGTCTATAGACAGTGGTATAATAAAAAATTACAGCCATAACAAGATGCTAAAATTATTATTTATGCTTTGTTTTAATATATCTATGAATTTTATAGTATATTGATTCTGAGATATAATTAAAATATGTAAAAAAATTATTTTAGTCTATAAATGTTAGATTAAAAATCATAAATTACTTTAAATATCATAAATAAATATTATTTATCAAACTATTTTTGCTTCATTGAAAAAATTTTTAAAAAAATTTACGACCGCTATGAATACTATTACTACTACTTTATCCATTATGTTTGTAACAACGATAAACAAGATGTGACCTAAAATTCGGCTGTGATTGCATTTTAAATCCTTGCTCTTTATTTCACTTTTATCGACCAAACTCATTGCTTCTTTCTTCCCCACCATGAAAAGTTCAAGGTATGTCTTTGTTTGATTCCTGTTCTTGAAGCCAAATGGAGAATGAATCAAGGGTTTTCATGTCAGCACGGTAAATTTTCTGGGTAAATTCGAGCAAAGTTGCCCATGTAAAGCTCGGATATATCCTTGGATTTTCAGGATTCACTAAAGCAGCAGGTGGTGTTACTGCTTTGTCCATCCTGGGACACAGGAAGAAAGCAACAGATCTTCTCACTGTATGGCTATTCACCACTGCTCTATGCAAGCAGCTCTTGTAAATGCCATTTGATAGAGCCTGAAACATCACAAGTTCATTCTTTCTTAAAATCAAACTGAAGATATATGCATTAATTTTGATCTAAGTTGGTTTCAAATTGATAAACTACATAGTTTCGTTCAAGAATAAGAAATCTAGACGGATCCAAGAATTTTTTCCTGTGCCACTTATAATATAATTAAAAAACTGTTAAAAGATTTATTAATTTTATCAACAAAAAAAGTGTTCAAGTGAAAATTTTAAGGATATGGAAGAAATTTTCTTTCAAATTTTTATTGTTTTTCAATGGTTAAATGTAAAAATAGCCTATGTACTATTTTTTTGTCAGTTTAATACTTAAATAAATAAAATTTTTAATTTAGTACTCTAATTTTTATTCCGTCATTTATTTTGGTACTTGAGATTAGTACTATTAATCAATTTGCTGATGTAGTATAAATATTTAATAAAATATTAACACATGTCAAAACTGTTTTTAGATTTTTTTAATTTGTTTATAATCTTTCAAAATAGTTATGATTTTATTTTATTTTTTTTAATTTTTTAGAATATTTTTGATGATGTGATACTGATTGAACTTTTTAATACATGTCAGTATTTTATTGGATATTCATGCTATATCAGCAAGTTGACTAACAACATTAGTTTAAAGTATCAAAATGGATCATAGAATAAAAATTCAAGTACCAAACTAATAATTTTATTTGTTTAGGTATTAGAGTGTTAAAAAAATATAATACTGAGCTATTTTTATATTTAACCCTTTTTCATTCGTGTCCATAATCACCCTTCTTTTCCAATTGGATCGGCCACAGGATACATATATGTTAAAGATCTTACCATGAAAGTGTCACCGATGTTGACAACCAAAGCTCCTGGGATTGGAGAAACTGAGTGCCACTTTTCATCAGCCAACACCTGAAGGCCACCCACCTGATCCTGATGAAGGATTGTCAAGGAAGTAGGGTCGGAGTGAGGACCAGTTCCTAGAGTCAGCTCTGGTTTTTGGCATGGCGGATAGTGATTCAATCTCAAGATTGAATCATCTTCTTGGAAGAAATCTCTCAAGTAAGCTTGGTCAAGTCCTAGACTTAACCCTAGCAGCTCCATAATCCCTAGGGAAAGCTTGCTCATGGCTTCACAATATTCCTGGTAAAGCCTCCTATCAAGTACAAAAACCAAAACTAGGAACTTAACAAATTAACTTGGATGGTAAAAAAGAAATGCAAAGACAAAAAAGGACGATAGATTATCATGTGTCTTGTACTTTTAGGTGAAGGGTTCTTTAGACAATTAAAATTATCATTAAAATTCATGTCCAATTCTGCTTATAATTAATTTTTGGCATAAGGGTAAAATATTCTTAAATAAAAATTATATAATCATTTAAGTTATTAACATTTTATTATAATCAATTAAGTCTTGAATCTTTTATATTGAATCAATTAAAATTTTAAATATCTATTTTCTCTCAATTGAACTTTTATATTTTCACTCAATTAAACCTTTTGATTGAACGAAAACAATTAACTATTTTTCTTCTAATAAAAAGTTCAATTAGTGAAAATAAATATTTAAAAGTTTAATTGATTGCAAAAACCAAAAAAATTTGGATGATTATTGAATTTTAATCTAGAGGTTTTTTTAACTCTTTGGCCTTAATTTTTTTTTTTATAAATGAGATTACAATTTAAAAATAAGGAAAATTATTATAGATACATACTGAGATATAAATTTCGAACTTATTAAATATTATATCTTATGACTGAAAAAATAATTGAGTTAAATTACAGGTTCATAATTAATTTGTCTTTAGCATATGAACATAAACACTAATTGCTCTATTGTGAATATCATAATTTTTCTTATTAATATTATTACATCAAATGCAAAAATTTCTTTACGAGGAATAGAATGGTTAGATTTTTGCATACCCGAAATGTCTAAAATCTTCGCCCATCACACTCACCAAATACTGTTCCACGATATTCTGAGTGTCAGGGCAATATCGAAAAGACAGTGTTTCTTTCCATGGCAACTTGGAGGAGAACCTGCCAACGAAGCTACTCGCATACCCATAGCTTTCTCCTGGTTTTCTCTGTGCCTGTTGCTTCTCACAGAGTTGCAGGCCAAAGAACAAGTCCATGTACTGGTGAGCTTTATCTATAAGCCTGGCATCAACCCCGTGGTTTACGACCAGAAAAAATCCATGCTTCTTGCATGCTTCATTGACAAGCTCTGCAACCTTTGAGACAGCAAGAGTGTCACCAGGCAAGATAACTCTCATGTCAATCGTTGGAATGGCGAGTTCCGGGGCATCCAGGCATGGTTTCTCATGGTCAGGCCATATGAACTGAGAGGGTATGTTGGATTCTGATCCAAGGATCGATGGATCGAAAACTAAAGGTTGATGTTCATTCTTTGCGATGGATGATGGCAAGGAATTGAGCCTTTCACCAGAAGAAGGCATTGGCTTGATTGCGGTGGTAAAACCCTTTTGCTGATAATGTACCATTTTAGTTGTGACTGAATGTTTCTGTTTTGGTTTTCAGACAAAAAGAAGCCTGTGAGTGGTAAAGAGGAGTCAAAAGAGAGTTTAAATAATAAAAAGCCAAAGTAGAGAGTAGACTTAGGCGATTCGTATATTTATATCATGTAAAATATTAAATATTTATGTATTTGTATCATATTTTATATAAAAAATTATGTATTATAATTCATATTAAAATAAAAAAAATTAAATATATTTTTTTATTTTGTTAAACCCATATGTGGTTTTTGTTAAAATTTTAATTTGTATCACCTTTATGTTTTTTATTTGTATTATTTTGATATTATATCATCATATCATATTTTAAATTATCAAATCTAGAAAAGAACGAATAATTTACATAAAAGGCAAGGTCATTACTTGGAATATAATTAATTTTTTAAAATTGGATTTATTATCTTAATTGTATATTTATTTGTGACTATCAATGAAAGAAATTAAGTGATAGGATCAAAAAAGGATTTTATGGTAATGTAAATATTTTTTAAAACTTATTCCTTCCATCGTAAATTGTTTTGAGTATTATTATTTTTCATAGAGTTTAAAAAAAAATTGATTTTAATGTATTCAACATTAAAATTTTAATTTTTTTATTTATAAAATTAAAGTTTTATTATTTTTAATGTCAAAAATAAAAAATCATAAAAAATAATTTTAAAATACAAAAGGTAAAAGTTTTAAACGTTCAGAAAGGAAAGAGAATATAATTTTGAGATATCTTAAAATAAAAGATGAATAAAAAAAATGGAATGGAGGGAGTATTTAATTGGATACATATACTTATAACTACTATGTCTCAATAATTGACTTTTATGTCTCAAGAATATGGGATGTAGCGTCATCTGCCAAAAAAATAAAAATCCCTAATTGGTAATCATACAAGATATATATATATATATATGTATATGTAGACATGGATTATGAAAATAAGTCTGTTTGTATAAATATGATTTGTCCAGACACAACTCTTAGTTTCACCATTGCATGCAAGTCTTGTTACTTATTTAGATTCGTGACATTATCTCTCATCCAATCTCGTGATACCTTCATTACGGAGGTTGATTATCCTATTTACCTCTCTCGAGGTACTTGATATGGATTGAATGGTTTATGACTGACTCTAATATCACTTGTCATGAGTCGAGACTTAAGCTCTGATCTGTGCAGCTTTAAAACCCAGGCATCCACTCATTTGACGTCTCGGATTAGCCTAATTGTCACAGTTCACACCCTTGTGAGATATTGACTGCTCTGACCCCTCTTGCCTCATGATTTTATCCTACAAAAGGCACCTCACAAGGGAAAGGTGATGTGAATTTTTTTATACCCCAATGACCCTTCTTTTATATTCAATATAAGATTCAAGACTCCTCCTTAGGTCCGTGATATTTTTACTATTCAAAACACTTAATCGCCTTAGGGCTTTTGCCATTGCCGATCGCATTTGGGGATGGGTGAGCAAAAAATAAAAAATATATATGAAAATTGATTCAAAATTGTAATATTCGGTTCGGTTCGAATCAATTTTTTTTATTTGGTTTGTATCAAATTCGGATATTAAATATAAATATTAAGTTCAAATCAAATTTTGGATCGAGATATGTAAAACAAAAAAAAAATTAAATTAAACCAAATTATATATATTTTAGTTTTTATATATTTTTTAAATTTTTATAAAATAAAAATAATAATTTTATATCAAAATTTACTTAAATATATTAAAATTTTATATTAAAATAATATATAAAAATTAAAAACCATAAACTGAATCAAATTGAATCGATAAAATTCAGTTCAATTCGATTCAATTCAAATAATAGTTAGGTTACATCAAATTTTATTTAAATATATTAAAATTTTATATTAAAATAATATACAAAAATAAAAAATCCTAAACTAAATCAAATCGAACAGATAAAATTTAATTCGATTTAATTCGATTTGAATGAAAATTTGATTATCATTCAGATTGAATTTTAAATTTTTATAATCGATTCTCTAACGTTAAGTGATTGCCCTTAGCTATCGGGATCTTTATCATTAAGTGAACACGTCATGAACTTTTGTTGCTAGTGTCCCCTTAACTATCATCACTAGATTGTTTTTCCTCGCCTCTTTTCTTTATTCATTGCGAGATTACTTCGAAAGTATCTTACATTGAAGCATAATAAATCAAATATAGTGCATGAAACCTTTTCTTTTGTACTAAAATTTAACATTTTCGAAGACGTTAACGATTGAAAAACAACTTATAACACATATTGAGCTACTTGCATTAATCTGTAGAATGATTTTGCAATCTTATAAAAATTAAATATCACAATTTGTTACTATAAACACGTGAGATAATCAAGAAAATTGTAAGAATCCTCTCGTGAAGAACCAACTTTTGACCTGACTTGATTCCTTGATTGGTAGGATTTTTGTAACTTGAATCAACTTGCATGTATGCTTTACAGTATGGCACAGGGAAACATTGCAAATGATGAAGAAAATGATGTTTGTTTTATTGACAACCAATGGCACCAAAAGTGATAATATCACATCAATCATGTTGATTAGTACATGAAAATTATGGCTGTCTTGAATATGTTAAGATCAATAATAGAAATATATCTATATATAGAAAGGAACTTTGGTGCAAATTGCAAAATAATGGAACTTGTCTATATTCATGTTGCTTGGGTGGTCGATTAGACACCAATTTGATGCTGATCAAGAAAGGTATAATGACAATCTAAGGCCTTGTTCGGTTCAGAAAAAATCGGTTATTTTTTGTTTTCTTTGATATTTGAAATTGTTAGGAATGAATCGTAATAGTTAAAAGTAAAAGTTTAACACTTTATCGATAAATCATATTACTGTTTATAATTATTTTTTGTTTTTACTTTTATTGAAAATTAAAAATAAGATTAATGTTACGAATGTCCTTTATAATATAATAAAATATTTAAATTTGAAAATTTTTTAATATAATACTTGAATTATAAATTTAATAACTAATTAAATACTTACTCTTGATCTTATTAGTTCCAAATGTTGAAATATTACGGACAAACAATTTCTTAATTACACATTATTTAATCGAGTCATAATTTAATTATTATATTAAAAATTTAAATATTTAAATATTACATTAAATATTTTATTATAATTAAAAGATCATTTGTAACATTAATCGTAATTCCAATAATAGAGGTAAATGTTGACACCAATCATCAATACATGCCAATGATGATCGAAACATATGCTCGCATCAAGAGTCAACATGCATCAACGATCATCAAGAGTTGAAATAAGAAAACAATTTTTTTCTTTTTTATATTTTCATATTTTATTTCTTTTTATCGTTCCTTAAATTCCGTAGGTTTGATCCTATAGAATCATACTCATTTTCTCAATGAATGGGGTAGAATAATGAAAACATGGGGTGTCTTATTTACTTGCTCTTTGCTAATCAGGATCATAGCCCATGTTTGGACTCCTTCAAAGCCATTAATATTAAACATTTGATTTTTTTTTAATTTTTTATTGATAACCTATTTTTGTCTCTTTTTACCTTACAACACTTTGACGATATTAGTAAACAAAATGATAAATTTTAAAATCATATATAAGAGATAATAGATATATTATTTAATAATTAAATAAAAATTTTATATTTAATGCATTATTAATGTGTTGATTTTTTATATTGTGAATGAATCATATGATTAAAATTTGAATCCAATCGATAAAATTTAAATATTACTACATTATTAATTGATAAAATATTTATTACTTTAATTTTATTTTAATATATTGATATAAACACATTTCAGTAGTTTGCTTTTAGAAAACAACACTTGTTTTAATCCACCAAAGGCATTTTTTAGAAAATAAAAATACAAAATAAAAAGTATTTAATAAAATGAAATTTTAAAATATTTTTTAAATCCAAACACAACGTAATCTTTCCTTTTCACGTGGAAAGATCGAAAGTTTCGGTTTATATGCTTGATTATCGTTAGATTTAGATAATTTTAAATACGATAAGATAATATAATATGAAGATAATATAAAAAATATAAAATTAAAATGGTTTAAAATTTAAAAGAAAAATTATATTGAATTTTATTATAAATTAAAAATAAATATGTTTCAGATTTATCGCATTTATATAAATTATGATATAATAATTTTTATATTTTTTATATATTAGACAAAAAACGAACACAAATTATCATATTTAATTCTCACTGTGTTTATATCATCTATCGAACAATATAGGAAAAAAAACCTCTAATATCTTTATAGTTTTTTATCTCGTGAATAATGTTTGAGTTTTTTTTTTTTATTATTATATTTATATATTAAAATTTTACTAAGCCAATGCTTCCCCTCACAGACTCGGAAATATTTGACAAGCTCAAGTCTATAATCTCCCTGATTTTCGTTGCCAGTTTAACAATGTTAATATCAGCTGCAGATCCAAAATTTTTGTCTAGGGTGTCTATTTATATAATATATATATATATATATATATATATATATATAATTATCAACAGATATATCAATTTTGTGAAAAAAAAGGTATTTAGAAAAAAATTTTAGAATGCCTAAAAGAAAATTTTTTCTTCAAATTACATATATTCTAATAATGAAAATGTTCATGAATATTTTACTTCAATGTATAAATCCACCTCTAATTAGGAACAAAAAATTTTGTCATACAAATGGTTTTATTTTACCAATTGACTTGTATGAGATGGAACAACCAAGTAGGGATATTCCTTTGATCAATTCAGTTAATTTTGAACTGAATTATTTAAAACTAAATTAATCAAATTATTTTATTTTATTTTCATTAATTAAATTAAATTTTTTAATTTTAAAATTTAACCAATCAAAATTAATTCAATTAATTCGGTTAATTTTTTTTTGTTAATCGAATAATAAGTTAAATTATGTTTTAAAATTTTTTTTTCATATATGAAATAAATTAAATAAAATTATCCAACCAAAATATTAAAACACTAAAGTGTTAAATTAAAAACTTTAATAACTTGAAATGAAATTGATAATTTCATATATTTTTATTTTTATTTTTATATAAAAATTTTCTAATATTTCAGTTATAATTTTGATTAATTCAATTTTCAAACTGAATTAATTAAAAATCAAAATTTTTTTTAAAAATCATTTCGATAACCAACCAAAATTAATTTGTTGACTAATCAATTAATTGAATTAAATCGATTCGATCAATTAATTCGATAAAACCAAATTATGAACTCCCTACAACCAAGTGCCTGGAACTATAGGTATAATCGAATTACGCTAATCTTGAACTACTCGAATTTCACTCAAAAAAAGATCACGAGACGGAGAGTGAGCACATCCCAGACGAAATCAGTATCCTGAAAACACTGCTAGAACTCATCGGCCAAAAGAACGCTAATTTCATGATTAATTCTGGAAAATAGAAACCACTATACCATAAAACTGAGATTAGTCGACAGAGTAGGAACTTTGAATCATATTCAAACGATTATTACACATTTAGTTACATGCATACAGGTTAGAATACAGGATAATACAACTATCACTATATTGGAGAATGAAAAACATACATGCAATCAAATTCCAGACTACCAGAAAGAACAGAAGCAGGAAATAATGAACAAGCATTGCCTGTTTTGTGTTTAAACACTACATGCTTCAGAATTGGAATTTAAAGGGGCTTAGCACCACCATTTTCTTGGATGCTATTCACTGGAGTTAAGGCTCCACTTCTTTTGCTGGAATGCCCTGTTATGGTCCTGCCCATGAACCTTCCTGCTTTGCTAAGTCCACTGCCAACAGCTCCAAAGCCACTCCCAACAATCCCGACTCCTGCACCAACACCACTTCCCACAAATCCAACTCCAGCACCAATACCGGTACCCACCATACCAACACCAGATCCAACCAGTGACACTGCTCCATCAAATGCATCCATTGTGCTTCCAATGACTCCTGCTTCTTTCAATCTCTTTCTTTCTTCCAGGATCCTCTTCTCTTCTTCCAAAGCAATCAACTGTTCCTCCTTGTTAAACTGATGGTACAAAAGCTGAAAGTATAAAACAGATGCTATATTAATCACAACAACCCAACACTAGACCGAAGACAAACCCCATTCACCAGAGAATCCAAAAAAAAAAAAAAAACAAAACCCCTAGATGTGATTATACAAAAAAAAAATACCCATCTCTGATATTCCAATGGTATCACATCAAATAGATAAAGCTAAAAGCAAAAGGAGGATATGAATAGATTTAATTACATTAAAAGCAACTATCATACTATTAAATCCAGCATCTGAACACAAAAATATAAAAAACATAATTTTGAAACAAAAAGTTTACCTTAAGGGTACAACTTCCCCTGTCCTTCTTATCTTTTACTTTAAGTGTATCAAGTGAGGATAGAAGGCTCAGATTAACCTCCTTTGGTGACTCTGGCTCCAGTTCTATCAACCGGAATATTGCAATTCCTAATCTCTTGTCTTGCCCAATGTCTTGGTCGAAAACCTGTTTGAAGCCATAATGAAAATTGCATAAACTAATAGTAATGAGTATGTACATCGTAAATTAACAAATAATATGAAGAAAACAAAAAAGAAAAAAGAAATTCTCATTTGAGATCACATAAGGAGGGAGGGAGAGGAAACTCTGAACATGAACACACTAACGAAAATATTGTGGAATCCAAGGTAAAATGTCATTCTGTCAAGAAAACTAAAGAATTTTGAAATTTCAAACACTGTAGCACGATATTCAGTTGAAAGGCAGGTATGAAAGCATAAGCAAAAGGAAGGATAGGGGAACTCGTTCAGAACCTCTACAGTTAGTGCCTGCGTCTCTCTGTCTTCTGCAATCAACTCAAATGTTTGATTCCAAACAGGATTAAGGTTGTTGTCAATGACTTTTGTTTTAACCTTGAAGAGAGGCCGAATGTGCACAACCACGTAAGGATCAGATTTTCCGATCATTTCCATGTTCTTTAAATCATTAGCTTTGACTACCGTAACTGTCAGCTTTCCCTCTGGTTTAAGCTCTAATTCACTGCATAATAAAAGGACAAGTGATATTTATGCAACATACAGAGAAATTCCAGACATTCAAAATGAAACCAAGATAAAACTTGAGTTTTTTTTTTTTTTTTTTAATTTTGCTGTTTATCACCCAAATAGCACAGAACCAAAGTTTCAGAATTACCTTGTATCAACTGGCATACCACCAATTGGAACAACAATTCTGTGCGGCCACTGAAGCATGTCTGTGACAATTGAATTCACGGTATCCTACAGAATATGATAAATTTGAACAATCTACAATATTAATTAGTGTATCTAAGAACAACAAATCAATCAAAGCATGTGAATATGTTAAAGAAGTCAAAACCAAAACCAAGAAAACTTACATCAATCATATCTGAAATTCCAGGAATTGCTGTTAAGCTTCCACCAACAGCCTTCAGAGTGTAATCAATTCTAGGCTTTGGCTGATTGAATTTAGAAAACGAATCAGTGATTTTAACACAACTATAAAAAGGACATCAAGCTTCAGATTCTTCAGAATTTTGATTAAAGCCACTTATAAATAGCATTTCATGGCGAAAGTCGAATGAAAATAAAAAAATAAAAAAAAAGTTTGAGAGAGAAAAAAGGATATTAAACAACCTATATAAACCCTTGAAAATTTGCAGCAAAATAGAAATTACTCTAATAATACCTCTTAAAGGACAGCAACAACTACAGCAGAAATACAAGGAATCTGTTCAGCAAGTTGGAAATATAGAAATTACTCTAATGATACCTCAGAAAGCAGAGCAACAACTACAGCAGAAATACAAGGAATCTCTTCAGCAAGTTGAAAGATGACACGAATAACTGTGAAAACTTGAAGATCCTTCAACTGCACCATAGAGCAACACACTAATAGTAAACCAATAATCTCATGTCATAAGAATAAAACTCTTAAGATCACAAAAGTAATATGGTAGGGTATAGTGTTCAAACATAATTAAATTTAGTCATTTACATTTGATATTGATGAAAATTTTAAAAGGTTGTTGATGCATTAACCTGAATTGGTATTGAAGCAACAAGTGCAGCTTCAACACCTAAAATTATACTCGGATCACCTCCCCACCGAAGATCGATATCCATCGTGATTTGACCTTTCTTAAGGCTCTGAACACGAATACCTGCATTGCATAAGTAATCATGCAGGTCGAAATGCTTAAAACGAGGAGCTCATAATAGTTTACAGAGAATTTTAAAAATAAAATTGAGCAGTAAAAGGTCCCTGGTAACAAACAAACAACTTTGCGTTACATACATTGAGTTTCATGACCTAAACATCTTGCAAAATAACCAAAGTGCCAATTCTTGAAAAATAATTGCAACATAAAACTAGGCACAGACTATCTCCACACACAATTTTGTTTCTTTAAGTAAATGATCCATAGAACTAGGAAGACATGTATATAAATCTGATGTATACATTTATGTAGCATGTATAAGGACTCCTTAGGACTTAAGAACATGAAAAAACCACTAGCTTAAATAAGCCCATAAAAATTGTAATTAGATGTCATTACTCAGTGGTTATACCAGGTAACAACAAGCAAAATGAGGTCACATTCTCCATCAAGTCCTACCTTCAATCTTGGGAGCCACGGTGCCAAGAGACAATTTACTAAACTTTAGTGAAGTAATTCCTGGAGGTCGGTATTCTTCCAAGAGTGGTTCAACAGATTCTTTGATCACTGCTGATGCTGCCTGAAAATAACACATTAAACAACCGCTGGCGCAATAGAATACTTGTTATACGAAGCTATTTAAACTTATTACAGATTCTTTACTCCCTCATATGTCTCCTCCAAAAAAGATAGAAAGTAAACAGGAAAACTCAATTTGATTCAATTAGAATATATGTGATGCTCAGCATGCATAATATTGCAAACGGTTAACCACATTGCTATGTTTCTTTAGCTTTTACTAGCATAATCTCTCTCAGCCTTCTTGAAATAAATAGATAACACAAGTAGTTTACCTCTGCAACAGAAGGCCATAATTTGCTCAATTGCTTGTTCAACCATTTCACCTAAAAAGGCCAGCCATGGTATAACATGGTAAGCAACTACATTGCATAAAATCTTAATAGCAAAAATGAAAGTACATTTTTTTTATAACCAACACATGCAGATGTATCTAGTCTTTGAAGATGCATATTTTAGGCACTAAAAGCAATTGTTAAATATGATTTGAAATTAAACCCAACTCTTTCGAACAATTTGTTATAGGATATTGCGCTTCAAGAAAAACAAAATCATAAGCTAATTGTAGATAATGACTCAAAAAAGGAATGGATTTTATTATTTTTTTCAAGTATAAGGTATACAACATAACAGATCATATTCTAAACTTCCTGTGAAGAAAGAATTTGCACTTTTACAAGTGAATCGAAAGTAATTTGGTTTTCTTCAGGTTGAATCAAGTGTACAAAAATTATCTATACTAAAAATCACAGTAGCCTAAGAGAAGGTTAACAGGGGGGGTCCTAATTAATCTGACACCATTAAACTAACCTGTTCATAGACAGGGAAAGATATCCATTCAGGATAATTATCACCACAAATTTTCTTTAGATCATCTCTGTTGAGAGCCCCAAGAACTTTTATATCAGCTGCCTGTCAAAGAAGACAAATATAATAATCAATAAACATCCAAAAAGTTGAATGCATCTAAAAGTTTAAAAGTTGACAAAGCACAAGATCAAATTCCCCTAGTGAACAGTTCAGTGTCCATAAACAGGAACTAAAATGCAGATCCATTACCTAACTGACAAAACAAGGGATGTAAGATTCTCCCACATTTTTGCATCAAACACTCAAAAATATAATGAATTTAAACACAATACATTAGAACATTGTACAATAAGCATAGGAGAAGACACTGTAAAACCACCTCAAAATGCTCATTTAATTTCTGATTACCGCCCTACCACATAAAATCAGATTTTAAATGCAGATGGTAGGTAGTAATATAAAAGCCCTTCTGCAAGAGGATGCTTCAGCTGACACACAGTTCCTCCAAGGACATCCAAAACTAAACTTCTACAACTAAGATTGTTTAATGAGTTGATTCCTTCACCAAGCTATAGATCTATTGCTCATACTCAAGTCAAAACACAACACTTTTTGGCCATGTTTGTCTAGAAGTGAATCAAATATAATGTTCACAGGCCTCAATTAATAAAATGCTGCACAAATTTCAATATCTCTTCTTGCAATTCTTATGTTTCAAATTCCTATACTACAAACTTCAAGTCCACTATCTAAAACTTGAAATATTGGACAGTTAAAACCAAAATCAAGATAAACAGTTGAAAGCATGGCCACTGATGGAGCCTAATACTGAACCACGAGTTTCGAATTCCCTTTAAATCATTTCATCAATCAATGGGAATAGCAAAATCAATGAGAAGTTTAACAAATTACAATCGATTCAACGAAGGAATAAGAAACTGAACTAATCAAGGAAATCTAAGAAGATTAAAAACTTTAAAAAATAGTGGAAAAGGATATCCAAAACTAAACTTCAATAACGAAGATTGTTTAATGAGTTGATTTCTTCACCAAGCTATAAAGCTATTGTTTATACTCAATTCAAAACACAACACTTTTTGGCCATGTTGGCCCAGGAGTGAATCAAATATAATGTTCACAGGCCTCAATTAATAAAATATTGCACAAATTTTTAATATCTCTTCCTGATTCTTATGTTTCAAATTCCCACACTACAAACTTTAAGTCCACTATCTAAAACTCGAAATATTGGACAGTTAAAACCAAAAATCAAGATAAACAGTTGAAACCATGGCCACTAATGGAGCCTAATACTCAACCACAGGTTTCGAATTCCCTTTAAATCATTTCATCAATCAATGGAAATAGCAAAATCAACGAGAAATTCAACGAAGGAATGAGAAACTGAAATAATCAAGGAAATCTAAGCAGATTAAGAACTTTAAAGATATAGTGAAAAAAGGATACCTTTGCGATTCGCTTAGTACTTCGATACCTCATCATATGACGCCAACCAGCCATCAATGAAATGCCGAAGATCATCCCCATCAAAATCCCCGAAATCAACCCCATTTTCCTGGAATCCAAACAGAAACATCTTGAAAAAAATTTTAAAAAAAAGAGCCAAATTGAAAATTGGGGATCGGATAAGAGAGAGAGAGAGAGAAAAATTGAAAATTACGTTTAAAACACTTTGATATCTTTGTTCTCTTTATGAAAACTTTCTCACACCAAAGAATCGGTTTTCTTTTGCTCCAAACAAAACGTCTAGATCAAACGAGTTGGATTTGGCCGTTGAGACTGCCAAGAAAATATGAAAAGAAGCTTTCGAGTAACGTTGGCCACGCCACGTGGCGGATCGGAGCAAGAGAAGCGAGAAAGACTCCTCTTTGCCTTTAAATCTTCCGCATTTAATTTTCTCTCGTTATTTATTTTATTTTTTTTAATTGCATGTCTGTCGGTTTTGTTCCCATTGGAGACTAAATCATTAAATAAAGAGATATATTAAATAATTTTTATTTTTTTACATGGCGTGAGTTCCACAAACTGACAAAAAGGGGATTTTGTACTTATGCCCCTATACTTTTTTATTTTTTTCTTTTGTTAGAGTCGTTAAACTCGTTTATCAATGGGATCAAACGGAGTTTGATTGATTTTTCAAAGGGCCTAACCCATTTCATTGAGTTTAAAGGTTTCAAAAACTTTTAAAAGTATATATTAAAATTTTAATATTTTGATATTTTTAAATATATTTTAAATTAAAATTAAAATTTTTATTAATAAAATAATATCTCAAGTTAAAATCAAATTTCAAATTTTAATGTTTTAAACTCAATTTAATTTGAATACGATTCATAATCAGATTTAATTGAACGTAAAAAGAAAGATGTTAATTTAAAAAAATTTTATTAGGACAAAAGAGTTAAAATCAAAATATTGATTTGTTTTTTAATTTTGTTTAAATTATTTTTTTACTTGATCTTTAACTTATTTTAAAAATAATTCTATTTTTTTTTTATTGATGTGAGTCTCTGTAAGAAATATTAAAATTGAGATAAACTCAAATCAAGATGGATCAATCTATTCTATTGGTAAAAAAGCCAATGTAATGAAAATGTTAGGTAACTGGATGAAAAATATGTCATAAATCTTGTATTTAAAAAGAGATGGAAATGTCAATGGGGATTGGTACAAATAATTATAGTTTAGGATTCGGACGTAAAATATTTAAATTCGAATCTTATGATTTTTTATTGATAAATTATTTATAAATTTAAAAAATCTTAAAAAAAAATCATAATTTTTTTTTTTATATTTTGACAACTTGCTCTAATTTTAGAAATTGAATAATTTCCCTTACTCCTAAACTTTTCTTTTGAAAAAAGAAAATGATCCTAATCATATAAACCATGATTTTGTTTCACCTAATAAATATAAATGAAAAAACGTGGGCTTGTAAGAAAATTTTCGAAAGTAATTGTCCAAGATAAGACAAAAAAAAAGGCATGAACAAAAAGTGCCCACAAATCCATACAAATTTAAATGTGGCTAAACCGTTAAGTTAGGGAAAAGATAAGACTAACTGTAAATAATTCCACCAGTTGAATGATTAGTAGGTTTTTCCTTTCAAACCCAACGAATTTTGTCTTTGTACTTCGTGCCTTATATATATATTTTAAATTATGAAGTTAAAATATCAAAAAATATAATAAAATTCAAATTTTAATTAAATTAATTTATATAATTTTTAAACTTCAATATTTATAATTTTTATCTTAAAAATTATGATTTTTTTATCAAAAATTAACATTTAATCAAAGGTGTATGCTTTTATTGCTGTTTAGAAATTATCAATCAACGATTATTAAGAAAAATATCAATCCACGAAAGGAATCAACAAAAGGAGTAAAGCACTACGCCAATAGTAAGAGTGAAAAAAAAATTGATAAATTAAAAAATTAATTTAAAATTATAATATTTAATTAAGTTTAGATTAATTTTTTTGTTTTATTCAAACTAAATTCAGATTAAATTTTGAATCCAAAAATTAAAAATTAAAAAAATTAAATAGAATTAAAATAAATATTTTTATTAATTTATATATTTATATATTTCTATAAAATAAATGAATTATTTTATATTAAATTTATTTAAATATCTTAAAAACTATATTAAAATAATATATAAAAACAATAAAAATTTAAATTTAAAAATTCATAAAAAAATCAATAAAATTTAATTCAAATTAAACCGTACAAAAATTCTGTTTAAATTCAAATCAAAAAATCTGTTTAAATTCAAATCAAAATTTATAATTTATAATTCTATATATTATTCGATCGATGCGGAATCGAATCCTAAGAGATAAGATAGGATAGTTAAAGAATCGATGCCTTCATAAGAGAAAAAATGTCATCCGTTGGATAAAAATTCATTCGTGAAAAATATTTCCCCAAATTACAAGTAACGCACCGGAACAAATCCGGGTCGGCCGACAATCATGCCAGCTAACCAAACTATGTCACTCTTGTCCTCACCCTTCACTTTAGAACATCAACGACCATGTAACACCAAAGAAAAGACCCAGCATAGCTCGTGACTCAGCGCCGCTGCCGGCCACGGCTCCATTATTCAAAGACGGTGATCCACCAGCAATCGTGATAGGCGGAGACTGAGCTGAGTCCCCACCAGGAGGCTCGACGTGGGGAGGAGGAGGTGGCTGGTTGAGGCTAGGGGGTAACCCGTTGCCGTGACTGACGTCGATCTCGAATGCCATGCCACGCTGGCATTGGATACCGTCTTCAGCGTCGGAAAAGTAATAGTTTGTTCCCTCAACGGTCAACGGCACTGCAATGGTCAACGATTGATCGAAGCCCGTGCTGCCTCCGTTGTACTGAAAGGTATCAGTGTCTGAAGCGTCGTCCATTGTGCAGCTCTGATACGTCGTCGCATTGTAAGTCTGGATCACTGTCTGATTCGTACTGGTTCTAAAAACTGTGAAAAATCTCAAGAAAATAAATCAAAAAAAATTTTGAACCATAAATAGAAAAAAAATTAAAATTGTGGCTTACTGAGATAGTCTCCAAGATTGAAAGTTTGATTAGCAGCCCAAGAAGAGTAATTTGTGGCGGATGTGTTAGTGTTAGAATCGAAGAACCAGCCGACATCGCCGCCGACGGTGTGGTTGGTGTAACCGGTTGCGGCGGCAACGTTGGTAATGAGGAAGGCGATCACCGTTAGATTTATTTTGGTGTTTGACGCCATGATCCCCGTTGAATTTGAATTTGAACGTCTGATCTGATTAATAACAGCTTGAGGTCGGGGGTTTTAAAAATGAAAACGTGTGAAGGAGGGTGGTGCTGTTCCTTGCTTGTGGGCCGCATGAGGTGGGACCCGCATTAGCTGATCTCCCGGTTGTTGTCAAATCTACGGCAGATCAACCGATCAGTCGAATAATTCAATTATAAAAGTACAAAAATCAATTAAATTGATTTTATTTATTAAAAAATCGAATCAAAAATTAATGGAACTGATACAAGTTGGTTGGTTTTTTCAAATTTTCCATTATGAATATATACCAAAAATACATGTAGATGCCCCAATTTGTATGGGTCTACCTGTGATTTTTGTTAATAAATAAATAAAAAAATAAAAAAAATAAATAATTGAGTTTGTATAAAATTGTTGAAATTAATTTATAAAATTGAAGTTGGATTTAAGGTTGAATTCAAAGGAAATTAAGATTTCGTTCTGGATTGGAGTTCTCAAATTTCGTATTGTATAAATACATGATCACATAGATCATATAAAGACACACACAAAAAATTAAGGAAAGAAGCAACAATCAGAGAAAGCAATCAAGAAATTTTTTTTGAAAATTTTTTAGGGTTTTAAAAAAAATTTTGAAAAAAATTTAAAAAATTCTCAAATTTCAACGATTTTTTTCAATCTTTGTTTCAAGCCAAGCCAAGCGAAGCCACTTTTTAAGTCATTCCAGTTTTTTTTCCTACAATTGAACTGCACTGTAACCTTTAGAGTCGAACTGCCTCCTGTTTTGGATATTTATTTTTTTGAGTATTTTTACATGATTAAATTTAAAAAAAATAAAAATAAAAAAGGTAAAAAAATAAAATAAATTTTAGAAATAAATATTAATTATCTAATGATGGAATTTATAAAAATTTCTAATGATAAATTTTTATAAAATTCCTAGATGAGAAATTTTGTCTAAATTTGTTCTAAATGGTGGAATAGTTTAAATAAAGTTTTAATAATAATAATTAATATTTATTTTTAAAATTAAAAAAAAAGAATATTGATAAAAATTTTGGAATTAAGTACAAATTACCCAAGAATGAGATTCTTAGAAATTTCAAATGGTAAATTTCTAAGAAATCTTTAGGTGAAAAATTTTCTCTAAATTTATCTCAAATTGTGGAATAATTTAGATGAAATTTCAATAAAAGTAATTGTATTATCTTTCAAATTTGGTTGAATATATTTGATAATTATCCAATGATGAGATTGTTAGAAATTTTAAATGGTAAATTCCTAAGAAATCTCTATGTGAGAAATTTTTTTAAATTTATTCCAAATGATGGAAGAATTTAAATGTAATTTCAATAAAAAATAATTGTCATATTATTTTTCTTCCGAAGACAAAAAAATAAATAAAGAGAAAATATTTCTAAATTAACTCAAATGGTGAAAATTTTAGAAATATAACAAAAAAAAAAGAGAGAATTTCTAATTAGGCCCAAATAAAGAAAATTTTAAAAATTTTGAAAAAAAAAATTTTTAAATTGACCAAAATGGTGAAAATTTTAGAAATTCAAAAAGAGAAAATATTTCTAATTTGGCCCAAATGGTAGAATAATTAGATATATTTTTGATAAAAAATAATACTAAATAAAACTTTTTTCGATGACAGAGTCTCTTCAAAATATCAAATGAGATTCTTGAATACTTTTGAGGTGAGAAATATTTTTAAGAATCCTATCAGATTGATAGAAGAATATTATAAATTATTTTCAATATTTAACATAAAAATGTGAAACTATTAAACTCAAGATCCTATGATAAATTTAAAATAATATGGTACAATCCTTTGTATGGGCATGTGAAAGTGCTATAACATTCCCCACATATAACCGAACTCTCAAATCTTGTTCTGATTTGTAGACCCGAATCTATTCTTTTAGGGATTCTTAGTCAAGCTTATGAGTTTTTTAAAATGATAGATTTCTTAGGTGGCCAATCACACCTAGTTAAAAAAGATTGGTGGTGACTCTATTTGTTAAGTCTAGCTATAGATTTACGGATCTATATATTATGACAGTTTGGTAACTCAATTGGGGAAGCTAAAGAGTCAAGCCATAAACTTTTAAATTTATCCTATTCTTTTGTCTAATGGTTTTAAATTGTAATTATTTGTGTTATTTGTTTACTAACATTTTTGTGTCCTTTTTTTCCTTTTATTTTTAGGGTATGAAAACCTATATGTTCCTTCACACACATTATCACATTCATTTACATTACATAAGCTCTATACCCGGGCTCTATCTCTTTTAGGAGGAAGTAAAGTACCTACGCTCTCGTGAGATGATAATCTCTGTAATGGCTAGTAAAATACTCCTACTCAAATTGAATCCTTTCCGTTGGTAACCTATGATGGGTGAAGATTGGACTGTCTTACTAGTTTGTGATGGACTATGATGTAAGGAACAATTTAAAGATTTTTAGTGGTCAAAATCACCTAACCCTACATATAATGTACACTTAAGAGGCCAGCCCTAAGATAGAGCCCTTCCTATCTAGTGATAGATGTAACCTAAAATTAGGACACAAGAGGAAATAGTTTGTGATCTAACTATTTTGTTTGTTTAACTTTGTGCATTTGCATTACCATATCCTGCATAATTTTCATTATCATATGTAACATTTTATATCTGCATCATTTTTTTCAGCCATAAAAATGTACATTTTATGCATCAACATATCATGCATAAACATAATATTTTTGATCATAATTGTGGTATTCAAGGTTTAATGATAGCTCTACCAACCAAGAATCTCACACAATCAACTCATCAATACAATACAATGGCTCGAACCAGACAGATGGAACAAAAAAATTTTAATTATCTTGAGAGGATAGAGAAAACTCAAAAGAAGCTAAAAAGGGAGATGAATAAGATTTTGGAGGCTTTGAACAAGTTAAACAAGAAAAAAATGTATAGAAAAAAAGTACTAGCCAACAAGACTATCCATCACAAGAGATGGATGAGCCTAATAAGCACAAGATCCACCATCACAACAGTTCACCTATCTTATAAGGTACACATATCTTGAAATACCGTCAGCTTCAAATTCAAGGTAGCATCAAAGTTATATAAATCCTGTCTTTATCGAAAAGACAATATAACCAATACCAATTTCTGATTTGGATGATCTAGAAGAGAAAGATAAGCTAAAGCCCAAGGAGAATGAGATTTTAAAAGCCTCAAAAGCTTAATAAAAGATAAACTTGTTAGAGGAAATGTTACGGGTCGTAGAGAACATTGGTTTTTATGGTTCTGTAGATGTTGTTAGGCTCTATTTAGTTTCAGATATGATTATTCCTCTGAAGTTCAAGGTGCTAAAATTCAAGAAGTATGATGGTACAAAGTATCCGAAGACCAACATTACCATGTATTGTAAAAAAATGGCAGCCCATACTAATAATGAAAAACTGTTAATGCATGTATTCCAGGATAGCCTTATAGACTCTGCTACTAGGTGGTACGTTTAGTTGGATAGGATTCGCATTCGCTCTTGAGGTAATATGACACATGACTTCATCAGTCAGTATCGGTATATCATAAACTTAGCCCCTAATCATCTGTCTTTACAAAACATGAAAAAGAAGGTGACTGAATCTTTCAAAGAATCTATCCAAAGGTGAAAAGATCCAACTTCTTAAGTGCAATCTCTTTTGACTGAAAAAAAGATCACCATATTATTTGTCAGCACTTTAAAATCTCTCTACTATGAAAAGATGATAAGGAATGTAATAAAAAATTTCATTGATATGGTGATCTCAGGTAAAATCATCGAGAATGCCATAAAAATGGCAAGTTGAAAGTAAGAAAAACAAAAAAACACCAGAGAAAAAAGAGATTAAAGCTTAAGCCGTAAATTTTGACAGATAGTTCAGGAGATATCAATCCTATCCATCAAAGGTTATTCTTCATATTACCCTGCTGTGAACAATACTTCATCTTACATATACCAGCTCATACTACAACCATATTACTTATCCACATATCATTTTATTTTTACCCTTCAAGCTCACATATATAACCTTAATATTCAACCTCCTGCAAGACTCTAAATTCATCATGTTAGCCCAGTAAGTAATTCTGAAGAGTAGCGAATTACTCGAGAAAAATTTGTATTTGATCCCATCCTCATAATTTATATGAAGTTATACCGAGAGCTTTATAATAACCACTTGATTACCTCCGATCGTGTGAAGCCACTCAAGCCACATTACCCCAAGTAGTATGATCTTACAGCCCATTATGACTACCACTATAGAGTTATCGATCATTTTACAGAGAATTATACTACCCTAAAGCATAAGGTGAAATGGTTGATCAATGATAGAATTATAAGTTTTGATTAATGAGTAGCAACAACACCTAATGTTAGTAGCAATCCATTGCCTAATCATTATGTTAATGCTCTAAGTGAGAATTAAAAATACGTTGATCAAAAAAGGCCTAGAGAGTTGGAGTGAATCAGGGGACAAAATGTCAATAAAGATCTTTCACCTAATTGTACATGGACATAATTTTGGAGAATGAAGATAAGACTGGTTAGAAGTTTCTTGTCATTTTAGGTTTTCTTTTAGAGTAATGTTAGAATTTCTTTTATGCAATAGGATTTCATTTGTTATCATTTTAATAAAAGGCAAGTTAATGCATTTCATTATATTTTTTCTTTCATTCAACCATTATTCCATACTTTGTTACCTTTCATACTTTTCATTCCCATTCTTAAATTCCAGATGATGAATATTTAGACAATGATAACAATAATTCTGAAATTTAATTTTGAGAACTCATTCACATTGATTTAAAAAGACTGTTTGAGCAAAAAAAGTTAGCTACTAACAGATGTGAAATAGATATGTCTTGAAAATGTGTAAAGATTCATGAGCTTATTTTTGTTCAATAGATGAAGTTTAATAAAAACATTCACATTTGAGATAAAAAATGACTACATTTTTTTTATAATTTAAAAAATCATTCATTACTACTCTTTTGAGCTTATTATGATTTAAAAAAAAAAAAAAAAAAACCC